TTGGCTTCTTTATAAAGGTTGTTCTTACAAGTAAGCCTTCAATCATACATAAATATATTATAAATATGTTATAAATGTGTTACTATCTGTTAGGTATATATTTCCTCTTTGGATCACCTTAATTTTAATTTGAAGTTGGTCAACAATCTCAATCAAGGTGTAATTTTTTATATAGCCACAATCCACAAGCATTGGATATGACTATCTTCTTAGTCAACACATTAGACACACTAGTCAATCCTTCTGATAGTTGTTTGAGGCTATGTCATTTATCTATAAGAGACAACAACTACCTCTAATATTGGCTATCAAGGACAAGAACTTGATGAAAAAGTAATTCAGACAAGTGAGCCTTTACTCAAAGAAAGGTAACAAAATATAAATAAACAAGTATATTATTAAAAGAGAAACTAGAATGGCTATTACCAAAGATTAGAAAACATGAAGACTCTTGAAACTAGACTAATAATAAGAAAAGAATTGAGAAGAATGAAGAAGGCTTCACTCTTGTCTCTACATATACTATCTAACTAGGTGCTACGTGGTGACATTCTATAGGACCTCCAATATGTATTGACTTTGTAGGACACATGCCTTGACTTACAAGGCAAGTTTTTCTACATATGGGCCATATTGTTAGCTTGATCTTCAAGCTAACAACATGTGTGGCACATGGCCAACTTGTTGGCCACGTTTCTAATCCAAAAAGTCAATTAAAGACACCTATAAAGTCAAAGCAGTATCTATAAAGCTTCTAAGAAGCTACCATATCAAATACTATAGAATTAACTTATTTTTATCTATTTTTACTTACTTCTACCTATTTATATATGTAATTACTGGCTTATATGAGTATGTCTATGATATTGGCTCTTAGTACCTTTATTTGAGAGCTCTATTTTCTTTCTCTATTTTTTTATCGACTAAGTGAACTTTGAGATTATAAACTTGCCTTGATTTTTTGGTGCCTAAATTTTGACATTTTGGACAATTTTTGATTTGATGGCTTAGTTGGATAATCCACTCTCTTGCAAAAATAAGACAAAATTAATAAATGAGTACTCTTTTTAATTTTTCAAGGATAAGAATTCAAAAAAAATATGTGAATAAGTGAAAAATGAATTGAATAGAGATGACAAAATAGATAGAAGAAAGTAAATATATTTATAAAAAAATTGAATGCCTATAATTAAAGATTAAGAAGCTAGAGATTCTTAAAATTGGACTAAAAGCAAGAAAAGAGTTGATAAGAATGAAGAATATTTGACTTTTTTTTCTATATATATTATTTATTTAAGAGCTAATTGGTAATATTCTATAGAATCTCTAATACGTGTTCAATTTATAAAATACATGTTTCACATTGAAAAGTAAGTTTCTTAAGTATATGCAACATTATTAGCTTATATCATAAGCTATTAATACGTGTAATACGTGGCTAATTTGTTGGCCAAGTTTCTAACCTACTAATCACTTATAGGCATGTATAAAGATGGAATCTATGAAGTTTTTAAGAAGCTTTTCCACAAGATATTATCTAATTAATATACTTTTATCTATTTTTATTAATTTATATTATTTAAGTAACTATAAGTATGTTTGTGACACTTACTTCTAAAACTAAACATAGAATAAGTTAATTCTCTTGTCAAACTATCAAGGATATGAATTTTAAAGAATTAAAAGATAAATAAATTCTTGTGACACTCAAATAGACTAGAAAATTACTCAGAGACGTTATAATATTAAATTAAAATGACTATTGCCAAAGAAAAGAAGATTAGAAAGTCTTGAAATAAGAATAAGAGCAAGAAAAAAGGTGATGATAAGAATAAAGAAGGCTTCACTCTTGCTTCCATATATATTATCTAACTAGAAGTTACGTAGTAACGTTTTATAGCATCTCCAATATGTGTCTAATTTGCAAGACATGTATCTTAACTTACAAATCAAGTTTTTTGTATGCACATCACAATGTTAGCCTATATCACAAGTTATCTACAAGTATAATACATGGCTATATTATTGGCCAAGTTTTTAACCTACCAATCAACTATAAACATGTATTAAGTCAAATATGCGTCTATGAAGCTTTTGAGAAGTTGTGCTATAAGATAATATCAAATCTACCTACATTTATCTTCTATTTAGGACTTCTTATTTAGATTAATATGTATGTTTGTGATAAAAAATCAATAAAAGTTTAAAGTACATATTAGTAAAATATTAAAAAAATAAAATAGTAATGGTGTACATTATACCAATACTTTACTAGACAAAACACTTTGTTTACAATCTACTTGAATAAATCCAATGACATAGCTTAAAGAATAATACATCAAATATATTACATTTATATAAATTATCTTTTATTAATTATTTTTCTTGCTTCATTTAAAACTTTAAGACATTGTAATCTTCAATTTATTTTCTAATTGTTAATGAAATTTGGCAAAAAAAGACTCATATTGTTATTTTTATTTATTTTTACTATTAATTATAGTTTAAGCATTATATTATTCTTCCATCATTATTTGTAAATATTTTAGAGTAATTTCGATTCTCTTAAATTATTTTACTATAAAAAATCAAAGAAAATTTTGTACAAATACAAAATCTAGTTAGAAAATTTATTTTCAGAAAAATCAAATTTTCTATAAAACATAATTATAAATCTAAAAAAACAGAAGAGTTATTCTGAAGTCTTTTCAAAAATTAATTTACAAAATATGATTTCTAATATGAATAATATATAAAACTAAAAATTAATAAATACATTTTAAAAGAAATATAATTTATATCTTTTTTCAAAAAATAAATATTCTACAACAAGTCATCAAGTCAATAATATATATATATATATATATATATATATATATATATATATCAAATGATTTATAACAAGTATATCACATAAAATATCTTTTGTACATAAATCATTTGTTAAAATCAAATATATTGTTTTTCAGATATTTGTAAAGCCATCAACCATATTTTCATAAACTAGGACTTTATTTAATAATTAATTTATATATTTCATATTTTTATAATTTTAAATGATTTTGACTAGGCTAAAATTTTATAATTGGTTCAAAATCCAAGTCCTCCCTATTGAGGAGACTAGGTTTAAACAATTGCTTCTAATGAACTTTTTCATCACAAAACATTCCTCGGCGATCTCTTCATGTAATACAGCCATGTTAACATCGCAAATCAAAATAGAGAAATGCAACATTTTGCTTCTAGAAACTAAACGTACAATGACTCGATAAGAGTAACGCTCAACATGAACAATACAATCCGAGTTACGTATAAATCTGAGAACAAATTCCGTATGTATGCAAAACGGCGCAACCAATTCCATCTTCTTCTCTTTGAAGGAAGAGAAATTAAAGAATTGCTGGTGCTAAAACCAGATCAGTCGATAGAATAGAAAAGCAGTATTCGTGAACTACACAGCACTCGAATACAAATGTCAATGCTACACCAATACTCCGATCTGTGAAGAAGAAAAAACTTGGGCTCAAATAAACGGAATACTCAAAATTGAGAGACTCAGGGCGAATTGTTGTGAGCTATACTGAGAAACAGGTAAACAACAGACAGACAGGGCAGATCTCCGAAGTCTTAACATGTTAAGAAATAGATTTAAAAAGAAAAAGGCGAGAAACTCTACACAGCACGACGTGCCATGCTTCAAAGCCTTGGCTGCTCCACGGCACTGCAAGCATTCGAGCGATACAATCAGCCCTGAAATTGAGGCAGAGAAGTTATGAAAGCATCGTGAGAAAAGACCGACGACGAAGACGACGACAACGACGAGAAACTTGGACAAACGAAGCAGCACAGTCGAATGAAACTTGCACGAAATTATTATAACGCTTTAACTTTTCACATGTACAGTTATTCTGGATGGTAATTTGGATTATTCGTCCAAGTTGATTTAACCTTGGTGCTATTGTTTTATTTTTATTTCTTTACCTCCACCATGGAATATGAATTGTTCCAGGGGTTACGAATCGATGTCGCTACATGCATCACTGCTGCACTTTTTGATGTCTTCAATTTGTACCCCTCTTGTTTTGAAAAAAATTACGTTATTTTAAAGTCATGTGTAATGTTGGTTGGAATGACTGGTGACATTCTCCCAGTCTCCTTTTTCCCACAGTGTGCAAGTTGGGCCGAGCCTCCTTGCCTCTCCAGCAAGGGGGTCACTACAAGACAAGCAGGTCAGAAAATATTCCTCGGGCAGCTCCGAAATGGGAGGCTGGGAGCACCCGTTGCCTCCCCCTTCAGCCCCGCCCCAGGTCCACACCCCCTCCCAACCCCCCCCCCCCCTCGATACTGTCCCTCCTTTTCCACTCCTCGTTTGGGAATCTCATCGAGGTCTCCTGTCGTTCTGTGGCTGCGGATCAAGGTTTTGACAAAGCGACTGAGATCCGAGAGTTTAGTATCGTCATGACGAGGTGGCTGCCAGTTGGTCAGCTGGTGAGGAGGTTCAAGAGCAGGTGTGAAACGGAGCATCCGGTTTGGAACCTCCAACCATCCGTTCCCACGGTCACTCGCTCTCGACGTAATAGATATCCCCGAGAGGGTTCCCCTGTGAGACGGCAGGCTTGGGTTCTCGCGGAATTCGTGCTTGAAAGAGACCTCGCAGTAGGGGAAGTTGCTGGTGACTCATGGCCACTGCAGTGGGAACGCCCAGGAAGGCATAAATGAGTTGTCCATACATTGCCTTCATCCCATTGGGGAGAATCTGGTGCCAGAAGGAAGAAGGAGCAGAAGCGGAAACTAACCTCTCAAACGAAAGCTTGTTTCAACTTACAAAATTGGTGATCATGGAGCAATTCGTTCGTTCCGAATGAAAACAAAGGTGAACCAATGACGAATATCGGTTTGGGAGTTTGAGGTGGGAGTTTGTTTTTGAACGAGGAGGGAGATAAAGAAAAGGCCTGGAGGATGAGGAAGCGAAGTTGGGGGGGGGGGGGGGGTTTGCTGGGCAAGGGAGGTGCTGAAAGGGAAGGTCGCTGGCTATGGCTGGCCGTGAAGGACGGCTACCCGTGACCCTCTCACTCCCAACCAGTTTGAGGCTGTAGCGCCACGCGGCCACCCTAACCATTCTTCCTTCCATGGATCTTCACCCAGTGCTTCGTTAGATATTCAGTCCACCTTCCCATTTGGATTCCGTGGTGGTAATGTAGACTCGGAATTGAGAGTAGAGCAGGGAAGCGTCGAGATTGTTCTCGGGATTCCGTTGCGGGACTCGTCTGGTGGAAGTAAGTCTGGGTTGTGTTTACTAGGAACTCGGCATCGTAGCACACCGTGGCACAGGGTTATCGAGCAGGGACGAGCGGGCAGCATATCATTGCTATCTACCGCCTGAAGCGCGTGCATGCGAGACGGCAGCATTGCGTTGTCTCTACGGAACTAGGGGGTTGGGAGTGCGAAGGAGCTAGGGAGAGCGAAGGAGCTAGGGAGAGTCAAGGGTGGAGGGATCGTCCCTTAGAATTCCATCAACATGCTCGCTGTACCAGCCTGTCACGGTCGCTCCTCTCCCGCCGCTACTCATGCATCTCTACAATCTTCGAGTCAGGTGTGTCCGCTCTCTTTCTCTCCTGCGCCCTGGATTCATTGCATTGTGAGAGGATTTTGTGTGGTGCCCCCCTTTGTTAGCTTGTAGTCGTGTGGCGACAATGGCGCGGCTACCGGGGTTTTGGCGGGTCTCTCTTGGTGTTTGGTTCTTCTGGATGTATGGCTGTCCAGTAGTCGTGATTGCGAGATAACTTAGGATCAGTTTAAGGCGGAATTATAACTGATGCTGATTTCGCGGTTGAATGATTACAATCCTCCCGCACTTCTACTTGTTCTAGCAAAAGACAGTGATATAGAGCATCATAGTATTTATAGTTGAATGCTGCGAATTTCGGCATATTATCACTCGAGGATGTGGTTACTTTACCAGAGCGTAATGGAGGGTCTTCATAATTTGATTCTCTATTGCTCAAGAATTGGCGATCGAGAAATAGTCACTGTGATATGCATTGATTTTTACATGGCTGATTGGTTAATCCGGGCAGGAATATTTTGTGGTACAGATGTTGTAAGAGTGGAGTTCTATGATTAGGGCTAAGCGATAGTATGTAGTATATTGCCATTTGGAGAGTTACTTGTGTCATGAAAGAGGGGCCGCAGACTCCCCTGCTCTTATGGCATTGTCTACCTCTTCCACAATCTTCCCGTTATTGTTTGGATGATTCCAAACAGAGGATTTTGTAGTTGGCAGCAATTTTGATGTGCGCAGTTGTTTTATGTAACACAGGTCGAAGGCAGGGGTATAACGTCATCGGACGTGTTAGGTTGGCAGCGATTGACTCTGAAAAGGTCCATGTGGGGAGTTGGAGGGGTAAGTTTTAACCTTTTTCACTTGTTACCTTATCCTCTTGTGCATTGAAATATGGTTCAGCGGGCAGGCACACATTATTTGTTTTTTGTGAGAACTTGGTCATTACTGCGCTTGCGGAGGATTCAGACCGATATTTGTGTGACTTTTCTGTATAGATACCGGTTTTCAACTTTTAAATGACTCAGCATATGTAAGTTTTTTTCGTTTGTAGCCATCGGCCAATGGTGTTGACTTGAATGATTGAACATTCATTTGCAGTTCCAGTGCAAATGATTTTCAGATTGCAAGGCTTCTTGTTAGTTGAAAGTTCCTACCCCCTTTCATGTTTCATGTGTTTGTGTCACAATGTGCAGCTCTCGCGAAGCTTGAACTTCAAGTCTAGCTCACCTCCCACAGTTAGGGCAACTAGCATAAAAACAGAGAAGACAGAAAAGCCGGATAAGCCAGCAAAGTCAGCTGAGCCGGCTGAGCCGGCTCAGCTGGCTGGCTGGAAGGACTTAAATGGGATGGAGAAGTTGGGTGTAGTGGAAGTGGACCCTATGCTCGCCCCTCATCAAAATCATCTCCGATACCGTTATCGTGAATTCTTGAAACGAAAGATGGAAATTGAGAAGGTTGAGGGGAGTTTGGAGAATTTTGCCAAAGGTGAGTACTCCTCTTCTCTACAATCCCATCAAGTGCTGGTGATAGTAATGACGTAATTCACTGCTTGAAACTCACGGTGTTCACAATCATGATTAACTACTTTGCCATTTTTGAGTGGTAATTCAGTACTCTTCCAACCTCTAGAAGAATGAGAATAGTATGTGCTCCACAACAGGATCAATGAATCAGAGATGGGGAATTAAATGGATGTTGTGTTGTGTTGTGTAGGTTATGATAAGTTTGGATTTACTCGTGATGGGGACTGCATCGTGTACCAAGAATGGGCTCCTGCAGCAGCGTGAGTTTTTTCCTTGGTTTTCTCGATTTATTTTATAGGAATTAGGTTAAATGGCTAGATCTAGCTAACTTAATATAGTTACGAATGTTTTACAGTTTACAGGTTACAGTTTTTTCATAATTTAGTTTCGCTAGAATCCTTTCCGGGAAGTTATATGATGGAATTGTTTGCTAGACGTGGCGGCTAGTATTTTCCAATCGTGATCTAGATTTACATCACATATGTACCAATCTATAGACGAGGGCACAGTTGCTATTGCATGGAGCAGCATCAAGTTTTGATATCTGAAGAGAACTTTGTTTTGGACAGGGCTGCTCAATTGATTGGTGACTTCAACAACTGGGATGGAAGTAATCACAAGATGGAAAGGGACGAGTTTGGTGTCTGGTCTATCAGGTTGCCTGATGAGGATGGTGTTCCTGCCATCCCTCATGGTTCCAAAGTTAAGTTCAGAATGCAGAAAGGCGATGGTACTTGGGTGGATCGTATTCCAGCTTGGATTAAATATGCCGTGGTTGACCCTAATGTGTTTGCTGCATATTATGATGGTGTTTACTGGGATCCACCTGCGGAAGAAAAGTAAGTCAAATCTGCGTGAAGCCTTTCATGTTATCCACTAATGTTGAAACTCTAGGACTCTATGGTACATGGTGTACGTCAGGCAGGCGTTTGGTGCATTTGTTTTTAAATGGGGTTTTTCGCTTCACCCAGAGTTTTTGAGCATGTATGGGATGCTTCGATATGTGTTCAAATTTTGATCTTGTGCTTTGATTTAGATATGAGTTCAAGCATGCTCGTCCACCAAAACCGGCAGCTCCACTCATCTACGAAGCTCATGTAGGGATGAGCTCGAAAGAGCCTGTTGTAGCGTCCTACAGGCAGTTTGCAGACGAAGTTCTTCCTAGAATTAAAGCGAATAATTACAACACTATACAGCTAATGGCAATTATGGAGCATGCTTACTATGGTTGCTTTGGGTATCATGTCACAAATTTCTTTGCCGCCAGTAGCCGTTGTGGTACTCCCGAAGACCTGAAGTATCTGATTGACAAGGCACACTCCATGGGGCTTCGGGTTTTGATGGATGTGGTCCACAGTCACGCTAGCACAAATGCTGTCGACGGGTTGGCTGGGTATGATCTGGGTCAGTCTTCTCAGGAATCGTATTTCCACACTGGTGCTCGAGGATATCATACGCTCTGGGATAGTCGTCTATTCAACTATGGTTCTTGGGAAGTGCAGCGGTTTCTTCTGTCGAATCTGCGGTGGTGGATGGATGAGTATAAGTTCGATGGCTTCCGCTTTGATGGAGTCACTTCTATGCTTTACCATCACCACGGGCTGAACATGTGCTTCACTGGAAACTACCACGAGTATTTCAGTGAGGCCACTGATGTCGAAGCAGTGATGTATTTAATGCTCGCAAATGAGCTTGTCCACAAGTTATTACCCGATGCTACAGTGATTGCAGAAGATGTATCTGGCATGCCTACCCTCTGCCGATCCGTCGAAGAAGGAGGGGTTGGCTTTGACTATCGTCTCGCTATGGCTATACCGGACAAATGGATTCAATATCTGAAAGAGAGGAAGGATGAAGACTGGTCCATGGGTGATATTGTTTATACTCTAACCAACCGGAGATACACAGAGCCATGTGTTGGATATGCCGAGAGCCATGATCAGGTGATTAGCTTTATCCTCTGCCTTTTCTTCCTTTATTGATGCTGTCATTTGTCTTTTACTTTATCCTACAATAATTCTACACGAGTTGCTGAAATTTTGTAATATTTCTGATTAGCTTATTCAGTGTGTTCACTATCAGATTTTTTTTTTTTTTTTTTTTTTTTTTTTTGAAACTGTACACCATTTCTGTACATATGTTTTTCCTCTTGCAAAAGGACAGAATTATCGTACGCAGTAACTTCGTATCAGTGGTTCCGTAATGGGGTTTCTTTTACATTGATCACAGTCTATATTCGTAGAAATAGATATTTAGGTCCTGACGACTGATTTATGAATATATGACCTCAGTATGCTTATACGTGCTTATCGTCTGTAGTCAATGGTTGGAGACAAGACATTTGCATTTCTGTTGATGGACAAGGAAATGTATTTTAGCATGACAGCTACGCAACCAGCAAATCTAATTGTCGACCGTGGGATTGCATTGCATAAGGTAAAACGCTCTCTTTTAAGCCTTCTTCGAGACCTTGTATGGATTTTCTTTTTCTTTTGAGAACCATATGTGCGCAGTCACTGATAAATACAATTCCCGCAGATGATTCACTTTATTACCATGGCTCTGGGTGGAGAAGGTTACTTGAATTTTATGGGCAATGAGGTAAATACTTTCACGTGACTGTCATAAAGCTTTGAATGAGTGGGGCGTCCAAAAGCTTTTGCATTTGACTAACTAGTTGCGATAAACAGAGAACATGATACACAGTCAAGTTTTATTTTTGAACTGAACAGTAGGTCGTTGAAATGTACAGTTTGGTCATCCAGAGTGGATCGACTTTCCTAGACAAGGCAATAATTGGTCATTTGACAAGTGCCGAAGGCGGTGGGACCTTGTGGACCAGGACCATCTTCGATATAAGGTTTGTTTTTGACTGGTCTGGTGCATCGTGTTAATGATTTGTTCATTCCTTTAATTTATTGGACTGTGATTCATGCGGAGTTATCGCTTGTATCATTAGGAAACAGTTTTTAAAGTCTTAGATATCCATCTGAGCTCACAGTTATTCCTTACATAATGATATCCAGTAACTTAGTGATAAAAAGTAGCATTTGAATGTCCGAAGGTAGGAGTGCAAGATCTGGGTTGAACATTTGAGACTTAATAGCTCTACCTTCTTAACACAAAGTTTGCCTCTGTTTTTGTTCTCATATCGATATTGTATTACAGTTCATGAATAATTTCAATAGAGCAATGATAGCGCTTGAAGAAGAATTTCAGTTCGTGAGTTCTCGAAAGCAGTATATCTCCTGTCAACATGAATATGACAAGGTCAGTAGAATCTTTCTTTCTCATCTGTGACACTTCGAAAGGTCCTAACTAGCCTTTTAAGTAGCCGTTTCTTTCTGAAGATAGTATTGCATTAATGCAGGTTCCTTTAGGTGCCTCAATTGCTGATTATCACATGATCTGCATTTTTAACTTGACATGTGACCGGAATATTTTCAGCTAATTGTTTTTGAAAGAGGAGACCTGGTCTTCGTCTTTAACTTCCATCCGACAAACACGTATTCTGGGTAAGTAGCACTCTCGTACGCAACTACCAGGACTATGGACAAGTACTCTGTAATATGTGTTTTTGCAGCGCAGTATAAAGTACTGCAGAGTTTCAACATGAATTTAACAAAAGACTAAGGTTACTTGTTGGGAAATGATACGGTGCAGTTTAGATTCGTAACTGCTGATAGATTCGTATGTCGATGAATCAATGACTATGAGAAATCATAAATTCTTATCGGATGTACTCCCGTTTTCAGGTTGAAGGTTGGCTGTGAGATTCCTGGCAAATATCGAATTTGCCTGGATAGTGATGCGGCTGAGTTTGGAGGTCATAGTCGGGTAAATATTAAACGAAATTTCTTATTGTATTGTTTTCAGAGTGGTTGAAAGTAATTCCTCTAATTACGAGTGCTTTTCTTGAGCGTACCAGAACATGCAATTGCTTATTTTTCGGGTGTACATAGAAACAATGTGTATTTCTTAACTCCAACATAGATCTTTGTCGATTTCAAATGTTAATCCAGTAACCAGAAATGATGCATTGCAGTACTCAATTGTGGTAGAGTTGGTAAGACTAGGTGATGCAGGACAGTTAACGTTCTACTTTTGTCTTGACGATTCCTTACTGGATTACATGTCAAGTTTTGTCAAACTACCGCTGCTGGTAGGTTTATTTGTTTCCCTTCACCTTACAGGTGGATCATAATGTTGATCACTTCACTAGTCCCGAGGGTGAGCCAGGAAGGCCAGAGACTAACTACAACAACCGACCGCACTCCTTTATGGTCATGGCTCCAAGTCGAAGCTGTCAGGTTAGCTATCTTTCTATGATCTGTTTGTGCTACAAATCATACAGTGAAATGGCCGAAATTCTTTTTTTGACCATTTTTAAATCCTCAGGGAATCTGAATATGTCTGGGTTACTTCTTTGATTTTCTTTAAAGTTAAACGGGTTACTTGGTTCTGGATGTAGGTATACTACAAAGTACCGGAGTGAATTGGAGATAGACTTTGGATCATTATTGCCTACTTTATTACTGTACAATACATTCTGCCATGTATACTGAGGTAGGGAGCATGCTTTTGGCGCTTCCTTCAAGGCCTCTTCCCTGCCTGTGGTTGACAATTATGGTTTATCAGCCTTTTTAGAGCTGCAGCTACTTTTGACCAGCTTATATCTTACTTAGAACAACTCAACACAAGGTGTGTTGAGATCCCTGCACTCTATCCCCTTCTTTAGATGGCAGCCATTCGAGGAACCTAGTTGCGAGATGTAAGGTCTTTACTGGTACTGGCTAACTCAAAGTTGAAGTGAATTGGTATGTATCATCAGATCTTTATCTAGAATAGTGATCGAGTGTTGATAATCATGGCGTGCAGTCCTTGCTCAAAGACAAATACTTTCCGTCTTAAAACTAACCTTCAAATTTCCTTCAATTCTAGGTGGTTTGGGATTGTTCGATACATGATGCGCTATCACACAACGTAGTAAATTGAGGTTTCCAATCAAACTTTCTGGTACTGACTGTATGCAATCGCGAATTCGATTTTGTACATCTGCTTCTCATCTCAGATGCTGCTAAATATATGTCATCTGCTAAAATCCACATACTTTATTCAATCTGTGGAGACAATACACATGATAGTTGATTGATGGCATGATACTTGGAAAGTACCTATCATTATTGCTAGTGGACTGTTAGAACTGGTTAATTAACGTAGTGCACGCAAAGTAGTCGCCGAGTAATATTGATTTGCACAATTAGGTTCTTGGATGCAGTGTTCTGATCATTGGGAAATAGCCAACTACCATTGTACACTAATGAAACCAGCCAGGCACCAGATTGCATTTCTCTTGCAACAGTTTCACTTCAAATGGTAAAGCCAAAGAAGGTCCAATCAATTGCAAATCCCTCGAAACAATTTTCATCTGTTGGAAACATTCATAAAATCACCTAGATGTGACGGACCAACTTCTACATCTCTGACAACTGTTGTATGTTTGGGAGCGCCCCCCCTGTTGTGCCCTCGTTGACCGGTCAGCGAGCGGGAGGAAGGGGCAGAGCCCTTGAATTTTTTTAATTTTTGTTCTTTTACTAAGATTTTTCTTATAAAATTTGGTTTGGGATCGATGTTTTATTTGGAACTCTACACTTATCAATCGTGCTCTTTCACATCATTTGTTTTCTTCTTTGTTCCTCTTATTGAATTACAAGTGGAGAAGAGAGAAGTTCATGTATTCAAGCCTTATTTGCAAGGTTATTATTGCTCCATTGAAATCCATGCTTGAGTGAGATGTTGAAGAAGTGAGGGTGAAAATAAGTTTGAGAAAGGAAAAAACGAACTAGAGAAAAGTAGAGACAATGAGCAAAAAAAAAAAAAAAAAAAAAACCAAACAAACAAACAAACAAACAAACAAACAAACATGTAAAAGAAAAAAGAGAGACAAAGAAAAGAGAGCAAGAGATTATTTAACAACAAGTAGTAGATGTGTGGTATGACATTGCAACATGGATCCTCCTACTGATAACTATTACAATTCATTTGAAGATCTTATCACTAATATCTAAAAATCTGTATTTTCTGTGACTACATTATTATGAAGTAGCAATCAATAGTCAATAATAAAGTTTGGTTCAAATTTGAAAAAGAGAAGAACTTAAAGAGGATATGTAAACAAGTGAGATAAGTATTAAAGATACTTTGATTTTTTATCTTCATAGTAAAGGAAGATGGGCTAATGACATTCAATCCAAATTTTTCCATGGTTTGGAAGGGCATTATATTCAAATCACTCCCACTGTCTATAATAGTATAAGAAATTATTTTTTTCATAATAGAAATCTTAATTTTTATTACTTTTACCTCACTTTATTTAATATAGGTATCTATTTTTGTTGCTACTTTGATTTTAAGCCTTCTTTGGTGTCTTATGGAAATATTGTTTTTTAGTGCCTTCTTAACTATTAAAAAAATATCTAATGGTTGAAAAAAAAATGTGATATTAGCTTTTAATTTGCTAAGATCATTCTTTAAGTTATACTCTTGTGTATTGGATTCTACTACATCCTTGTGTTGAAAGATTTTACATGTGAGAATTTTGGAACCTTTTCAACTATAATTATTTAGATTAATACTTGATTCATGTTCAATCTCAAGATTTTGAAATAATAGTTCTTCTACCAAAATTTTAAATCTTATAGATTTGATAATTTTATTTTAAGTTATCTTAATTGTATCCTTTGTGACTCGTTCTAAAATTAAGAAGCAAGATTGACTATCTGTGGTACTAATGTCTTTCTCTTAATAGATAGATAAAGATGTCGCCTTAGATCTAGTCATTACTGGTAGAGTTGATACCACATATAAATTCTTTTCCATTGATTGATTTTTTCTAAGATTATTGAACTCAATTTTGAAGAAAAGGCTTAATTAATACTAAATTGTGTAGAATTTTGAATAGCTTCCAATTCTCTTATGGAGTGAGAAATAAACCTCACATCTTGAAATCTTAGGCCATGTCTTAATTGATTAGAAGGATTTTGACCTTGAAATTGACTTTGATAAGGATTCAATAGAATATATCTCAAATTAGTTTAAAATCTATTATGTATATTTTAGCTTTATCTATTATTTTCATAGTCATAGTACAAGTTTGGAGGGGTTAAGTTGTTATTTTTTGGAGGTTGACTTATCCTCCTATGACTTTCAAATGATTGTTGAATATAATTATGAGGTGGAGGTTGTAAAGGAATTATTCTATCAGGTTTTATACAAAATTCTATGGAATGGTTATCACTACAATTTTTACATTCTACTTGATTTTCAATCCAACATTAATCAAGTAGGTATATTTTCCTGTAAAATACCTAAAAATCTATTTGTTCTCTTGCTTGACCCTTAGGACCTTAGTTCCTAGAATTAAATCCTTATTACTTTTACATCTTTGAAAGAATTGACATTTATATAGCAATACATATGATTGAGACTGTTAATTTTGTAAGGGCATGGAGTTGCAAAATTGGGCCAAATACCCTAGTTGTCTACATTGAATACACCATAGTCTTGTTGTATGTCTTTCTAACTCAATAGGAGGTAGAAAAGAATTGAGGTTGGAATTTCTAGCCAATCAAGCTAATTATTCTATCATTAATTTCATTTGATGAGTGATCTAGATTTAAAATTCTAAATAAGATGTCTTAATCTTTTTTTGTAAATCTTCATTTTATCTATTATCTTCAATAGGATAAGTTAAGGTCAATGAAGGAGGTGGAGGCCTAGTATTTTAAAGTAAGAGATAGACTTTTATAGTTGTAGAAATTAATGGTGGTTGTTCATGCATCTAAGAGCTTGATGCATAAAGAATCTTAGCATGTATGGATATGAAGTTAGAAATAATATGGTCTTCTTTACACCACAGTCTTTTGTGATCTTTATTTATTTATTCTACTTCTTTTGATTTATTTTTGGCTACTATAAGATCTTTAGGACTTGCATAAAAGATTTCTTTAATTATTTCTTCTTTGACAAATCTTTGAATAAAAAAATACTTCAAAATATCATTTGTAAGAAAGGTTCCTATAAATCTTATTACTACTAATTCAAAACATCAAATGTAGGACATGATGTCTTTATCTTTTCCTTATCTAAGAGAAAATAAAGCAATTAGGGTCGTGCTTTCCTCAACTTCAAGCCAAAAATGTTCTAGAAAAGAACATTGGATCATATTCCAACTTAAGAAGATTTTAGGCAAGTGGTTGAAATACCACTTATATATTCCCTCTTTTAATGTGGTTGAAAATCACACTAAATAATAATGGCTGTCCATTATTAAATACTTAGTTAATATTTCTATAAAATACTCTATGTGGGCCAAAGGATCTTAATATTCAACAAAGAAGGTCTAATAATTCTTAAGGATTTTAGATTTTTTAAAGGTTTTATTAAGATGGATTTATTAGACCTAGTAGAATAGTACATTAAAATTCTACAATCATGATGAAATCTCTAAAAATAAATAATAAAATTAATAAAATTAAAAATTAAAAAAATTAAAACAAGTCAAACTAAGTAATTATAGAATTTAAGTTTTTAACATCTTGTACTTATTGACGTGCATCCTACTTAAATACTCCTTCCAGCGAAGAAAGGAAACACAACAAAAATAACCTAAAAGAAGAATTTTTACTTTTGTATCACTCCTATCAAGGCTTTTCTTCTTTTAGACTATTACATGGAACGACTTTGTGTAGGAGTGATCCTAAGCAACGTTCAATACAATGGGCATTCTATTACCAATAGAGAACTTAAGTTATGATTTTTTTTTTTTTTTTTTTTTTTTTTTTAATCCTTTATACCAATATTATTAAGAAATTATCTACTACTTGTTTAACAATAAAATTTACTAGACAAAATAATTCCTTGCATATATCAAATCAATTTGAAGGAGAACTCACTTTATTGCATTCCAAACTACTTTATTACTTATTAACAAATCACCAAAAAAAAATTCTAAGCAATCTTCCTAATTGATCATGAGCTCAATCTAAAGGATAAGATCAAAATTAAAGGTTCTATTTTATTCCACTACATTCAAGTCCTAGAAGAAAGAATAGATAAGTACTTCTTTCACTTCTTCTTCTTAGGTTTTATCTTCAAACTCTTTGCTCTTTATTCCAAATACATGCATTAAAATTTGAATAATTGAAATCATTCAAAAATACTTAGAAACTAACTTGAATTTTTATTCTTTAAGTGCAAAGTTTTTGTTTTCACTCCTTGCTTCTAAATCCACAACTTATATTAATTTAATAAAAAATTAAAAAGCTTAATGCATTGTCCTAGGAGAACTTACTTTAGAATGTAGCTTTTGAATTTTGAATCTTTTATCTTTTTCTTTTTTCTTTAGCATTACTTCTTTTTATTTTTTCTTTTTATTTTTTCTTTTCTTTCCAAAATTACTTTCAATTAATGTTAAAATATTCTTGAAATTCTTGAAAATTTCTTTTTATTTGCTATAGCTATGAATAAGAAAGATATAGCACATAGAGAGGATGATTAAATCTTTCTACTATTAGAAAATTTCCGCCAATAAGGAATTTATAATTATATGAAAAAAGAGGATATTAAGGATAGAAGGGGTGATTAAATCCTTCTAACCTCTAGAGATAGACCTTTAATAAGAAATTAACAAAGAAAGGGAATTCATGACCAAATTTGAAGAAGAATTCTATCTTTGATAAAGATCTTTGTCTAATCCTAGTCTAATTCTAATCCTTAAAATAATCCTAAGTCAATAACTAAGTTTCCTTCTACTTTGCCTTAAATTTCTTTAAGCTCTCTCTTCACTCTAAGTTCCTACATAACAATAATCTATAACAATATCAAAAGATTATACTAACATAAGATAAAACAATTCAAAAATATAAAGCAATAAAACTATTACCTTTCAAGCAAGCATAAGACTTATAGGATAAGACTCTTGGAAAATACACCAAAATATGAGATAAAA